TGGCACAGATCACTCAGTTTTCACAGTGTGGAAACCTTTCAAATGACAATAAAACACAAACACTTGAGTTAAGATGCGGTGGATCACAGTTAATCACAAATATCGATCAGCTGTCAGGATAGGTGCATGAATGTCTGCTTCAGTTGAGGACTGGTTTGAGTATTAAATGAACAATCTTCTATATGACAAATATTTGTCTACACATTTTGTATACGTCACGTTATCTTAACTTGAACTATCACGACGTCTTGATGGACAATGTATTAATTAACATTAACGCTGCGCATTACACTAACGCAGATCACTTAAACTGGGTCATGTGGAGAAACACAAACCAAACGTCGTTAGATTAACGTCGATTAAATTCACCTTTTTATTGGGCTTTGACTGAACACCTCCACGGGCTAACCCAGGTTGACACAGGTTATCAGCCCAGCGGGGCCAGGTACCGTTAGCATAGCAATCACTAAGTTATCAGCTAACGCTAGCACTAGCTGGCTAGCTTGGTTAGCAAGGTGCATCTTCACCTGAACTGTGATATCAACAGGGATGCTAATTTTGGCTAGCAAAGAAACAGGCTTAAAACAAAATGTACTTACTGGAAATAATTCAACCCATGACTCCTCCGAGTGTCTTTTAGAACAACTGAACGCAGAACAAAACATTTTCAGGTAAACAACATGTTGGAGCTAACTTTGATGAACTGAAAACACAATGACAAGTCAAATGTGTGACACGTCGCTCTGACGTCATATCCGGATTAACAGGCAGGTCCCTCTGTGTTTCAATCACGAAGTAGCCACGCCCTAAAGCCACTCTGCTTTAAAGACTATTTTCTTTTAAATAGGACCATAATTTAAAAAAAATTAACATGTTGTATTGAGGAAAACTTCAAACTAGAGATTCAGACCATAAACACATAACGAATCAAATTTGAAAATACGTGTTGAGTGGGAGTGCTGCTGCTGGGTGTCTGTACTCCGCACTGCTACTCGGTCTCCTGTTTCCTGGATCATTTTATATCTGATAAATTCTTATTTTGAGCGAATTTGAGTTGTAGGGTTTTAATGGAGAACTGGAATATTAGGAAAGGTCGGACGGAATCTGTTTGGTCACCTAAGAGAAGTTAAGTGAATTTATATCCTGCAAAAATATCAGGTAAGAAAACATTTACTCTATTGTTTTGGTGACGTTGTTTGTGTTCATGTCGTTTATTTCAGATTAAATAATGCTATAGACGGATAAACAAATGTCATTAAGTATGTATGTTTATACTGCGTCATTAACATGTGTTAAAGTGAAAAGCTAACCGCGATTAGCGCGCTAGCCATAACAGCATTTTATTCAATGTAGAAGAAGCTAATTTTACTGTGTGTTGCTAGTATGTGTTAATGTTGTCAGCTGGTTTAAAGCTTAAACGAACTGATGAGAGGTAAATGAGTGAAGTGAATGAGTAAAGTGAAAACTGTCTTGTACACACTTGTACACTTAGACAGAGAGGACCAGGAAACACATTGAGGAGCAGAAGTCTCCCGCGCAGCTATCGCTTGGTCTGGACTGTTGTCTCCAGCCTACCACTCATGGTTCCCATCGCCGGGCATCACCCAGTTCCTCATTGTTCACCCATGTTCCAGATGACGACTCAGGGATTAGTGAGTAATAGCTAACATGCTATCTTGTTTGTAGCTCCGGTTAGCGAGCGGAGCTGTGTGTCCACAGCATGACAGCAGACATCGCTGAAGCTGTAATAAACATCACAATCCAATATTCTGAAGCTACAAAAACACAACACTCTTATGTACAAGTTAATTTGTTGGTCCGAGACACACACTGAGCAAGAGAGAGAGAGAAGCCAGAGCTAACTGCTAAGCTAAAGTAACAATCAGTTCTAAACAGCATGTAAACAAATGCTGAATCAGTGAAGTTCGCTATAAGCAGCAGAGAGCTGTGGGTGCTGGAGCAGAACTGGTCAGTTTAAATGTACAGCAGGTAGTTAGTCACTGTAATGAAGAAAACAACAACATTAACTGTGTTCAGATAGAGCAGCAATAAACTCTACCGGAAACAGAAACTCCAGAGACTGGCGATGAGACACTACAGTGACGTCAGCACGTAAACGGTCACTCACTGCTGTTAATGAAAGGTGACGTACTCTGAGTAAACGTGTTACTGCGGCACATTTTTAAAAGGGGAAGAGGAGGGTAAAACATCTTATATGGGGATGATAATAATAATATATGATAAAAGTATTAAACAACATCTTTAGGCTGCCAGGGAGCCAGTATCAGTTCCCAGGTGAAAACAGCACCAAAAGCAATCAGTTCATTCCAGTCAGGCTCTTTGCAGCCTGTGCACACAGCTGATAATTATTAATGTACACTCAGGTGACAATTTATTAGGAACAGCTAGCTAAGACTGATATAGTCTAATACAACAGTCCTTCATGAAGATTATACTGTTTATACAGGTGTTTCTGTTATTTAGCCTATCTTTGTTGATATAAATGAGTTGGGCAAAATAATAGAAAACAATAGGAACTTTAAAGCCATGGCGAGTGTCTTTATGTAGCAGTAGTTTTGTGTTGGCATCGGTTCAGAATATTTCTGTCTCTATGATTACTAATAATCGGAATCAGCCCTGAAAAATCTGTTGATCCCTATTGCTGTTAGTCAATTTAGGCTGATTCTGTCCTTGATTAATTAATGTGTTATTCAGTTAATACCAAGCAATACACCATGAATGGATGAATCCAAGTTTATGTTAAGTTCTCTGTGCTTCTATACAGTAACATAATATATACAGTTCATCATACTATTTGCCTTTTTTTAATCCTAATAAGTAACATACTGCTCTGATCATAGGTGCTGTCTTCATCTCTAACGTAGGTATGAAATAAGTACAATAAAGTAATTTGATAAACATGACCTACTCTGTCTCTTTCCAGTCTGCTGAGATCAACAACTGCCGGGCGAGATGCTGTGATGCATTGTGGGGTTTTTAGTATCAACAACCTCAGGCCTTCCTTCAGCCTTGCAGGTAGCACTCTTACAAACACACATATTTACACCTGATATAAACTGATTGATTTCCTCACTGGTGTTAAATGTCTTTGGTTTGATCTGAAGTGAATGTGAACATTGATGTGTGTAGGGTAGATGGCCGTCACTGTACTAGAACCCTCCCTGAGAAGTATGGTGTGCAGTTACTGATCTCAACAGCATGGAAGTTATTAGTAAGAAGCATGTCAAATATTCAAAGTTAACAGCTCTGAGATATTACTGAATATTTGTTGGTGTGTCCAACTGTATTTAACACGGCCAAGGACCCACAGCAGTACATCACCTGTGAGATCATGATAATGCTGAAGAACCAGGAGTGACAATACATCACCAGGTGGTGGGGAACAGAATGAAGTGTTTCTGGTTTAAAAGCACCGCTTTTTTCTTTAGTTTCAGACTGATGCAGTTGTCATTTTCCCATCCAGTGACCACATTGTTTAAATAGCCAGTTGTTTAAATTGACCAACAGAAACCTGGTCTTCAGTAAATGGCACAATATCTTCAGGGCACATTGTCAGTATGCTCCTACATAGGTGGGTGCACAGCGTGTCTGTTTAACACAAGCAGAGTTGTGAAGATGAGCTTCAGGTGTTTGATGTTTAGTCCGGTGGAACATTAGAAAGCAGCCACAGAAGGTCAGAGCATTCTTTGTCAGTACAGATCATTTAAATTTGTGTAAGCTTTATTAAAGTAATGGTAACAAAAAATAATGAAATCATACTTTTTAAGGACTTTACAGTGAATCTTAGTGTCTCCTGTTATTTCTTTTCCCCCCAGATGCTCCAAGGATCCAGCTGATTACTGGCAGTTTGAAGGTGGATTTTTCTTCATCTGCTCCGTTGCACCGTCACTTCTGGTAAAGATTCATTGACCTTTGTGGTATGTTTTGATTTGACTTATTAATACACTGTATAGTTGGGATTCTGACATAAAAGATAGTATAATGTTTGTCCACATATGTTGTCAGGACTATATGGAGAATACTGTGGAAAACAAGATAAAACTGAATTGGAAGATACAAGCTAAAAAACAACAGACCACCCCCCCTCAGCTCCACAGCCCCCCCTCTTTCAGAGGTGACATCATCACCTCCTCATTATAGGAACCTTAACAGGCCAGATAGACCAATGGAGAAATGCCAGTTTTAGTTCTTCAGATCATCCCGGGGCTCTGAAGAACTATTTGTGAATAATTGTTTGATATTGTAAATTTACATCTGAATATATTAAATAAAAGTGTTATAAAGTCAATAGTGGTGTGTATGTTAATTGTAATTAAGTTTCCAACCCCACTTTAGTTGAAAGACTACATACAGAGACTCAAAAGTTTAATTTGCATTTCTTCAGTAAATTATATTTTATGAAATGTAAAAAAATTGATCTGAATCTGAATCAGTAAATATTGTATTTAGATTGAGCTTCTACAGGTTTTAACATTACTTTACACTTAAAGATTCAATGTTGACACAAATACTGCAAGTTGAAGTTTGAGATGATTTTAATCTGTTTTACAGTATTTTTTACTTTGTCTTCCAAAACAAAAGGTTTACTTTACAATATTAAGCTTGTGTTAATATTTCATTGAGTGACACTTCATTTTATTATTAGGAAAAAGTTTCTCTGCAGAAACTTTAGTGGCGTCAGTTTATTGATGGTGTTTGATCATAAAAATTTAGGAGAAATCTGTAAAATAACAGTTTTTCTCTGTAGAAATATTAATGAACCTTTCTGTAAATTTCTTGTTTTTACACTTTATCTGAATTAGGACATTTTACTTTAATTTTACAGTTTTTGTTTGGCAGCCTTTTTTACAGTGAGTCTGATCAGTGTGATGATTAACGGTGTATTTCTGCTTTAAACACTGTATTCACACACACACACACACACACACACACACACACACACACACACACACACACACACACACACACAGCTGTTTGGTTTAGTGATAAAAATTTATTTGGTATCAGTGAGTAACTACAGTCGTTTTCTTACATGTCCATGTTCATCAAACTGATAGATATTTATAAAAATTAGACAAATATAATCTACATACATCTAATACAAGAACAAAATGGAGGGGGGTGTAATAACCGTGACAAATTAAGTGCTGATGAGAATCTCCATGGAGACGGATGCTCAAATGATAATATTATTACTATGAATCTGTGCATTAAATAAGTTTAAAAATAAAACATTCTTAAACACAAACAACCATCAAACACACAAACAGGTAAAGTTGAAGCAGATGATCACCCACACACAAACACACACCTGTGAGGTTTAAACAAGCGTCTTTGGATTCTGGTTGAAAACTGAATCAGCCTTTAAATAAATGGATCAAAGCACAAACAAACAAACAAACAGCTGGAATGTGACAAAGAAACGACTCTGACATCAGCGCGGACACGACATGTCAGCACGTCAGACGTTTAAATCACGGCTGATTTCTACCGAACACGGAGCTGCTGCCTCAAAGATTTCAGTTATTAATTAACAAAAAATCTTTTTCATTAAACGACACAGTGACAATGTTTCTCTGTCACTTCGATCCAAATTTACTTAAACTCAAATTTCATAAAATCAAGAAAATCATTTGAAAATTAATTTTACTTTGCTGGTGTTGAAAGCTCAGGGAAGAAAACAGAACCATTTATTAAATTGTTCCAGAAATCACAGAAATCATTTTTATTTGCAATGAAAACAAATAAGATTTGAGTTGGATGTTATATCTAATTCTTAGAAACTTATATTTACAAAATCTATATCTTTATGATTTAATAATTATAAAATCTGTTTTTGTATTTATGAAATACTAATTACAAGATTCAGTTCTCATGTATTTAATATTAATCTCACCATTATAACATGTGGCTGGAAGACGAGATAAGATCTGTAATTATAACTCAGTGTATTATAATTATATTTAAAATTTCAAGATCTGTATTTATCTCATAATTCTGAAATACAGAACATTTGTCATTGTGGATGTAATCTTTTCAAAGAACTTGATATTTTCATTTATCTTTACCATCTAATTTCAAGGTAATAATTAAAAAGTTATTACACCATAATACCAGTTTATAATTAAAGGACCTTATGTCATAATTACAAGATATAAATTATGATAGATTTTGTAAATAAGAAATCTTGTAATTGTGACTTAGTATCTCAAACTTACAAATTTAAAATAAGATATATTGTAACTATGAGAAAAATAATCCATAATTACAGGATGTGATGTCATAGTGTTGAGTCTTCAGTGTTTTTCATAAACTAACTAAATGAGTTTCAGAGACACTTCCTGGTTTTCACGTCTTCCCATGTCACTGCTGATGTTTGAAAAAGTAAACATAAACAGTGCATTCTGGGAGTTTTGCACTGTAAACAAACTGTTATTTTTAAGGCAGCTAAAGGAAAAATGACTATCCCACAATGTGACAGATGTCTGGTAGAAAACTGTCATTTAAAGCGTCACCATGTTGCTTAAAGGCTAATGCTAATGTTGTAAGGCAGACGTGATGCTAACTGTAGAAGCTTCAGGACTAAAACTCAAAAATACAAACAAGACAGAGAAAAGTGCTCGGACAGGAGGGAGGAGACAAGCTGAGTGACATCGGGGGGGGGGGGTCCATAACAACAATGAAAACAAGATTAACATTATAATTTATCATCATCACCGTCGTCACTCTGGTTCATCCTGAGCCTCATGTATATCCACAGAGTTGCGTCACATTAGCATTAAAGCATCTAGTGGTAAGTGTCAATGGTTTAAAGTAAGGGCTTCATTACCCAGAAACCCTAGTTTTAATTACCTCCTCTCAATAGCTGATGTTTGTGACGATGTTAGCTACACTCCTCACAGCACAAATCTTTCCTCCTAATTAGCTAATGTTCATTAGCTGGTGAGCTAACAGTAGTCAGGATGACGTTAACTTACCAACGTTAGTTCTCTATTTATTCTTCAAATGGTTCAAGGTTTTTATTTTAACACTCCTCACGGCCCTGACTTCAGCTAATGTAAGCTAATTTATATTAGCTTGAACATTAGCTAAGCATTGTCAGATATTCCTGAAGTTAGCTTTGGGGTTGCATCCAATTAACTAATTAACGTATAATTTATTCATTTATTTAGTTTAACAATCAAGGTCAGTTCATGTGTAGAAGTTATATTCTTACTGTTGTTTTCACTCTCCATAGCAACCTGAGTTACCTGTGAGCTAATGTTTGTTAGCTAGCATTAGTTAGGTTAGCATTAGCTGAAAAATGTCATTAGTTAGCTCTGTGTTTATGAGTTCTAGTGATATTTAACACCCAGTGGTAAATATTGGTAACATCTGGATCATTTTTAAGTGATAAATGTGATTTTCATCTATTTTGTTTAAATCACTGTTAGCTTGCTAGCACGATTAGCGTCTTCTGGATGTCTTTTGCCTTGTTGTCTTGAAGTGGATCACTTTATTGTTTCGTTACTCAACTCTGTGAATATACGGCTCATCATCTTCCTCTTCACTGCATCCATCGTACCTTCCTCTTCCTCACCTGGACTCCCACAGGAACCAGGTCTGGGTGACATACAGTACATGTTTCATGGTTTAGTTATACACAAAGTCCCGCAACCATGACAACAACTACAGCTCCCATGAGCCTATGCTGAAGGAGCTGAGGCTGAATCTAATTTATTGTTTTTATGACTCGTTAAAATTGGACTGATTCAACAGGTTTCATTTGTGTGTTTCTTCCTCTTGGTTTATAGTTATATAATTTCCTTCATCACAAACATGTAACGTGGATTTTTGAGGATAAATGTTGGTTGTTCTCTTTTTCTGTGGATCAGTGTAAAAAAATTAACCTGGGTTCATACACGATAGATGGCGCTGTCAAAGGAAATCCATGAAGAGGCTGGTGTGAGAGGGGTGGGGCTTCAGGTGGGTGGGTGGAGTTTAGCACAAAGCATGTTGCAGGTGAGAAAGTAACTGCTCCTCTAAATGAGAGACTGTGAAACAAAGCAGGAAGTAATCTGACTTTTTTTTCCGTGAACAGTAAAACGTTGTGGGGGCGGAGCTACGTCTGTGACCGTGGTGATGAATACTGACTACAAGGCTGCAGGTGCTCATGGTCAAAGAGTAACTCATCACCTGGCCGACCAGCAGAGTCTCTCACCTGAAGCCACGCCCAGCAGTGATGTCACATTGTAGTGTGGAGTCACCTGCAGCCAGGTGAGGAGTTACTCTTTAAAACCTGTTTCCTGTGAGCAGTCCTGTCCAGGTGTGTAAACCCCACCCTCCTGTTCTTCCTGCTCAGGTGAGGAGTGATGAACTCGTCTGGACCCGAGCAACTTCCACGCTGCCTCCTCCTCCCTGCGGGAGTCCAGGCGGTGGCTTCTTTACTCTTCCTCCTCCTCTTCCTCCTCCTCCTCTCCGGCCATCACCTCCACCAGCAGCTCAGCGGTGCAGGTCGCCTCCCCCAGACTGTTGACAGCCTTGACCGTGTACTTGGCGTCATCGTCGCCTGACACCTGTAGGTTGAAGTGAGACTCAGCAGTGAGCTCACAATTCTAACCAAACATCCACTTTTACTGTCGTCGAGTCAGAGACACAGTGTGAACATGAACAGTCTGAACAGTCTGAACATGAACAGTCTGAACAGTCTGAACATGAACAGTCTGAACAGTCTGAACATGAACAGTCTGAACAGTCTGAACATGAACAGTCTGAACAGTCTGAACATGAACAGTCTGAACAGTCTGAACATGAACAGTCTGAACAGTCTGAACATGAACAGTCTGAACAGTCTGAACATGAACAGTCTGAACAGTCTGAACATGAACAGTCTGAACAGTCTGAACATGAACAGTCTGAACAGTCTGAACATGAACAGTCTGAACAGTCTGAACATGAACAGTCTGAACAGTCTGAACATGAACAGTCTGAACAGTCTGAACATGAACAGTCTGAACAGTCTGAACATGAACAGTCTGAACAGTCTGAACATGAACAGTCTGAACAGTCTGAACATGAACAGTCTGAACAGTCTGAACATGAACAGTCTGAACAGTCTGAACATGAACAGTCTGAACAGTCTGAACATGAACAGTCTGAACAGTCTGAACATGAACAGTCTGAACAGTCTGAACATGAACAGTCTGAACAGTCTGAACATGAACAGTCTGAACAGTCTGAACATGAACAGTCTGAACAGTCTGAACATGAACAGTCTGAACAGTCTGAACATGAACAGTCTGAACAGTCTGAACATGAACAGTCTGAACAGTCTGAACATGAACAGTCTGAACAGTCTGAACATGAACAGTCTGAACAGTCTGAACATGAACAGTCTGAACAGTCTGAACATGAACAGTCTGAACAGTCTGAACATGAACAGTCTGAACAGTCTGAACATGAACAGTCTGAACAGTCTGAACATGAACAGTCTGAACAGTCTGAACATGAACAGTCTGAACAGTCTGAACATGAACAGTCTGAACAGTCTGAACATGAACAGTCTGAACAGTCTGAACATGAACAGTCTGAACAGTCTGAACATGAACAGTCTGAACAGTCTGAACATGAACAGTCTGAACAGTCTGAACATGAACAGTCTGAACAGTCTGAACATGAACAGTCTGAACAGTCTGAACATGAACAGTCTGAACAGTCTGAACATGAACAGTCTGAACAGTCTGAACATGAACAGTCTGAACAGTCTGAACATGAACAGTCTGAACAGTCTGAACATGAACAGTCTGAACAGTCTGAACATGAACAGTCTGAACAGTCTGAACATGAACAGTCTGAACAGTCTGAACATGAACAGTCTGAACAGTCTGAACATGAACAGTCTGAACAGTCTGAACATGAACAGTCTGAACAGTCTGAACATGAACAGTCTGAACAGTCTGAACATGAACAGTCTGAACAGTCTGAACATGAACAGTCTGAACAGTCTGAACATGAACAGTCTGAACAGTCTGAACATGAACAGTCTGAACAGTCTGAACAGTCTGAACAATGTGAACAGTGTAGTAACAGGTGAATGTTTGTTCAATATATCCCTGTAATTACTACATTTCAGACTTTAATTAGCTGTAACAATGAGCTGTGGCAGAAACCTTTAATGTTCTAACGTTAGGTCTAATCTGTCAGAGCAGTGTTAATGTTGTAGAAACAGGTTTGACCTCTGACCTCTGAGATGACCAGGCTGCAGTTCCCGTCTTCATCATAGTCTATCTGGAAGTGTCGGGTCTCTTTGATTGGCTGGTCATCTTTGTACCACACCACCTCTGGGTCGGGGTAACCTGCACACACACACACAGACGTTTAAGGTTCTCGGGTGCTGATGTTGTGTCATCATGACGACCAGTTTCAGACCTGATTGAACACCTGGTCTCAGGTATGAACTCCAGCTCTGTTACCTTCTATCTTGCAGTCGAAGCGAGCAGCGCTGCCCTCCACCACCTCCACATCTTTGATGACTGAGCTGAAGCTGGGCTTACACTCCGTCTTCTGCTCGTACTCCAAGCACTCCAGGAACTGGTTATCCTCTGCGCACGCACGCGCATACACACACACACACACACACACACACACACACACACACACACACACACACACACACACACACACACACACACACACTTAGTTTTTGCTCCAGCACTTACAGCAGCCTTTCACTGACCACGCCTCCTCTCTTGTGTCTCTGACCTTCAGTGGGAGATCCTTTCTTGGCGCTGACTCCAGCCATCATGGCCATGGACGACAGTCTCCCAATGGCTCTGACAGCGTGACCTGTTTTCTACCACAGAAGAAGAAACAGTTGCATGAAGAACATACTCATTGTCACTCTGTCAGTGTTATACATATATATTTATATGTTACCTGCCACTTCCTCCTCAGGATGTACTTCTTCATCCTCTCCTTGGAGAGCTTCTTGGCCTTCATGGTGTTGGTGTCCTGTTTCAGCCAGGTGTGTTCAAAGCACTGAGCACAGGTGAGCCGAGTCCTGAGAGACAACCACAGTCTGTGTTACCATGGCGACTTATTGAGCCACTTCAGCATCTTCGTTTTTGAATAAGACAGAAGAGTGAATAAAAACAAAGCCCCGCGCCCCCTTACTTCATGTCTTTCTTCAGCAGGTTGGTGATAAAGTCTTTGCCGTTGTCTGAGATTTCGTCAAAGGCCTCGTCCTCAAAGTCCCAGGTTGCTGAGGTGACGTTGGACAAAGTCTCGTTGTCATTGTCGCCCATGAAGGGAGACAGACCGCTAAGCCTGAGAGGACGAACACAGGGTAAACTGAACCAGGCTAAAGCTAACTGAGCTACAGTAAACTAGAACACATTCATCACATCAGATACACACAGTTACAGAATTAAATATTTAAACTGGAAAGAAAAAACGACAGAAAACACGACGACAGATAAAAGATTTTCACGTGGTCTGTGAAGATGTTTAACTCTAACCTCTGTAGTAACTATGACTGGAGAATTTACTGACATATTTTATGTCCTAGAATAAAACGTGACATTGTGTCAACCACAAAAAAATAAAAAATTTTAAAAATCACACAAAGCTGTGGTAAGTTAAAATATGTTAAATTAAAGAGTAATGAAATAAATGAATGAAAGAAGTAAATCCAGGAAATGATAAAAACAAAAAGGACAAATTAAAGTCAAATTAAAGGATTAACCCAAACGACATGAGAAGCTAAGGTGAGATGAAAAAAACAAAGCAAGAAGATAAGCCAAACTAAGCTAAAAGGCTAAATGCTAAATTAACTGACCTGGGCTAAAGTGAACAAAACAAAGAAACTAAAAATTTAACGAAACATCAATAAATTATAAAATACAGAGCAGTGAAATAAATAAAACAATATGAGGCTAAGCTAAATAAAAATAATAAAACAACATGAAGTAATAGAATAAAAACTAAAGAGAAATCCGATGAAGCTGAATGAACTAAGCTAAGTTAAGCTAAGCTAGGCTAATGACAGGTGAATGCAGCTGCAGAGACTCACAGTATGTAACAGATGACTCCTATACTCCACATGTCAGTGGGGTAACTGATGGCTTCATAGTTGATCACCTCTGGAGCCACAAACTCTGGCGTCCCAAACAAAACCTTCAGAGTTCCTGCGTTTTCTGTGGAGGACAGAACCAGAGGATAACATTCACATCATGGTTCTCTGATGTGCGTGTCCCTGTGGCTGACAGCAGCTGGTTGGTTACCTAGTCGTCTGGCGAGGCCGAAGTCGATGAGTTTGATCTTGCTGCCAGTCTTGTTGACACACATGATGTTCTCAGGCTTGAGGTCCAGGTGGACGATGCCCTGTTTGTGGATGAAGCTGACGCCATCGATGATCTGCAGCATGTATTTGATCACCTCCCTCTCCGTCAGCTCAAAGTCCTCATCGATGATCCGCTCAAACAGCTCGCCGCCAGAGATCCTGTACGCACGCACGCGCATGCACACACACACGCACGCACACAAACACAGACACAGAAGGACCGTCACTGACCCAGCACTGTGAACACTGGAGATGGTTTCCACCTCTGGAGACTGGTGAGTAAACAGCTGCTAACGCTAACGCCAGCTATGTAGCATTAGCTAAACTTCCATATGGCTCCTTTAATATAACAGGAGAATTTTCCTATTTAACAAACTCCCTCTGACATCACAAGATATTTTGTGGCATATTTCCTCCTTATTTCCAAATGATGTGTTATGAACATTTGACTTTATCTTATGATAAAATCTATTCATTTAAAACCATCGTATCTGATTAAAGAGGAGAAATGTTGGTGCAGGACATTATAAGAAGAAACCTTAACCTTGAGTTAATTAAAGTAACCATTTTTAAGTTATAAAAAGAAGATCATGTGATGAAAAATTTACTTTTTCATATAAATTGTGGTGGTCGTGACGTGAGCTTCAGGACACGTGACAAGAACGTTTCACTATTTCCTGTCTGTTCTGTTTTTCAACTACACAATGAATGAGAAGAATCATGAACATCAGTGATCACACACAGGACTCTGAGCTTCTATTCAAATCATGGTAAAATAAAATGAGGTCGTCCAGGCTTTTTTGGATCAACGTCTCAAAAACTATGACGTCTAAATTACTGACTAATAGCACCGGTAGCACCACCATGTGACCAGCTATAGAACAGAAAGCTCGCTTCATTCTAAACTTTATGATTTCATAATGTCAGTTTTCATGTTTCCTGTGACCAAGTTTCAGATTAAATGTTCTCAAAGCTGAGAGGACTGAAATACCAAAATAAGAGTCTGAATGTAAACAGCTCATTTCCTGTTCTCCATCAGCTTTTATCAGATTTCTGGTGTCTCCTTGTTTATCACAGTAAATATTCACAAACAAACACACTGATTGTTATTATTTCAAAATAAAAGCAGCCGGAGAGACTCAGCTCAATGAAGAATGATAAGGAGACATTTTAATGAAGCACAGATGGAGGACGTCTGAGCGCGCTCAGTGCTGTCGCTCCATCTCTGCCTCCAGCTCTAAAATTAGCAGAGAGGAAATAGCTGCTCTCAGATTCCTCTCATACTTGGCCACGTAATTATTTTCCGTCGTTCTCAAAAACATCTCGTGTTTCCAGATCTGAGTCAGAGTCACATTCAAATCTGTTCAGTAAGACCATGAACATCCGTCAGATAACAGTCAGTCCTGTGGACGTTTCTCATCGTCCTTCATCCGTCCAGCAGCTGGAGTCATCTCATCACACCCTCACACTGTAGATACATTTACACTGAACATACACCACCACCACCACCATCATCATCATCCTGTAGTGATGCAGTTTACTCCTCTGACCATGAGGACACATGGATTCATTAACCTGATGTTTTATATGAAGATATATTTTGCACATTTCGAGCTTTTATTCTGACAAAAGAGAACAGACAGGAAATGAGATGAGGTTGATGGTCGCCATCTCTTAGCTGTTTTCCACTGAATGTTTGTTGCTCAAGTAAAAACCAGGCTGTGTGAAGCTGACAGAAAAAGTATTTCAGTGTCAGAGGAAACCTCACGTACATCTCCAGGACCATGACGATGTCGGACTTGCCCTCGAAGGCGTCGATGCACTGGACCAGTTTGGGGTGATGGAGGCTGTTCATGATGCCGATCTCCTGCCGCACATTCTCCTTCTCCTTCGCTGAGTACGCCTTGATGAACTTTCCCGCCCAAACCTTCTTCGTGGCTTTTTCCACCAGTTTAAAAACCTGACCGAACTTTCCCCTGAAACACAAACAACACAAACTTAAACACAACAATATACAACACAGACATAAACACAAACAACACAAACATAAACACAAACATAAACACAACAATAAACAACACAAACATAAACACAAATAACACAAAAAGAACACCAACACAAACATAAACACAAACATAAACACAACAATATACAACACAAACAACACAAACAAAAACACAAACAACAAAAACACAAACACAAACAACAAAAACACTAACACAACAATATACAACACAAACAAAAACAACACAAACATAAACACAACAATAAACAACACAAACAAACACAAACACAGATTGAACAGAGCTTCCCGGGAACAGTTTTATAAAAAAATAATATATATGATAAATAAACACTTGTCTTGGTCAATTTTTACTCTTAATTTTGTTTTTATTTTTCTTTTGACAATAAAATTATTTTTATCTCTACATTTCTTACCTAAAAAAACATTGATCTAATTGTTCTGATTCTGTTTGTATTCATTCTCACGATCACGTTAAACCTGCTGTTTCACTGAGGTTTTAAAACACACACAGTGACTTGGTTCAGCTTTACAGAAGCACAGGTGCATTGTAGGTGAGGTGTGAGTGGGTGGAGCCTTACGTTCCCAGCCTCTCCTCCACGTCGTACAGCTCCTTCACCTTCACGTCTGTTCTGATGGTCACGTCTCTGTAGTCCGGCTCCTTCTCTGAGTCTGAGCACACAGAGGTCAGAGGTCACAGAGAATACTGCATCCTTCTCATGTTGTGTCACTGTGTGTTGTGTTGTTATTTGTCATGGGATGTCACATCATCATGTTCTATGATGTCATTCTATGTCATGTGATGTCACTGTGCTGTGTTGATGCTCTCTCTCGTGTTTGTGTGAATGTTATGTTGAGGTTGATCAGCTGATGAAGTCTTACCGTCATCCTCCTCCTCAGCCTCGTCCTGGTTCTCTGTCGACCAATCAGATGTTAGTTCAGTTACTCGGTTTAGTTCAGATCAACTGTCAGAGTTTAGTTTAGCTTAGTTTAGTTCAGTTTAATTTAGTTAGCTTAGTTTAGTTGACTTAGTTCTGGTTTAGTTCTGGTTTACTGACCGTCGTCCACAAGTCCCACAGTGACGGGTTCAGACTCGGCGCTCGGTTCTCCAATCCCGTAAATGTTCTGAGCCCTGACTCGAAACTTATACTGACGCTCTGGGAGGAGGTTCTGGAGACGACACAAACCTTATTTATATTTTCATCAACAGTCTGTGACAAACAGACATTTCTTTGATGAGATGGCGTACAGAACACTGGTTGAAGGACATGATACAAACAGCTGGTCACACCTGCACGTTGTAGGAGGTGCTGTTGCAGGACACCAGGTGTTTCCACTGCGGCTCCACAGAGTCCCAGATCTCCAGGTTGTAGGACTGGACGGCGCTGCCCCCGTCATAGGTCGGCCCGTACCACGACAGGGTCAGACTGGACCGCCGGATATCTGAGGCTGCTGGGACCTTTGCTGGGGGGTCGGGTTTATCTGAGGAAAAGGGGGGCTGGGTTAAAACTGCTGATAGAGCACTGAAGGTAATAATGACCCCTACAGGCTGCAGAGGTAATGACAGTCACAACATGAACACATCCTGTTTATTCATGGGCCCAAGAACCAGGAGCCGGACGACACTAATGACGACCAACATGAACCAGCCAGTTGAACTAACTGTTTGAGGGTCAGCAACCTGGTTCAGGTTCAGGTTTGACTTGAGCTACGAAGGTAAGAGGTGAGAGGATAGAGAATATATTATGTTAATGAGTGTGTGTGCACATACATTAACATTATATATTCTCTATCGGCAGCTATTCGCAGCTCAGAGTCTGAACCATCAGTGTCGTTAGTTCAGCGGAGACGTCGCCTCCAGCCTGTCTCTTCTTCTTCTTCTGTTACACTTCCTCAAACTGGATGTTAAACTGGCTCTTCTTCATTTACCTGGCAGGTACCGCAGGTAAATTAAGGTCCACCCACTACCTGAGGAAATAAAGTAGTTGAAAACAGCTGTAAACGTCCCCTGATGATGTAATGGAAATTGTCAAATCATTTTGAAAGACAACAGCCAATAGGAACACTTGGCTGATGTTTGTGTGTGTGTGCACTGACAGAGACAGACTCAGGTTCATGTGATTGATCAAGACTCCAATGATCTGAGCAGCTGCGTTGGTTGCAGCAGTAAGTGAGACTGTGAGCAGCTTCCTCTAACACCTGTCACATATCCAGGTGTCCGTGCAAGTACAGAATGACATCACTGCGGTCAGTGTGGTTTTCAGACGGACTTGAACAGCATATTCCTCCTCAGATAAAACCCTCTGAGCTGCAGCTCTTTTTGGCGGGACCTCAGTGACCTCAGGGGACAGATGCTGCAGAAGTTTCTTACCGACGATGGTGAGGTTGAGGGCGGCCTGTCGGAGGCCGTAGCTGTTCCTCAGCTCAATGGTGTAACAGCCGCAGTGTTCCTGCTGACCGCTGGAGATGGTCAGTTTACTGCTGCTGTCACTGCTCTGGATGGAGATGTCAGCCGAGCCCTCCTGGATCTGAATGCACACGCACACGCACGCACACACACACACACACACACACACACACACACACACACACACACACACACACACACACACACACACAGGACGTCAGGGCCACCATAGACCAAGTTCAACACAGTTTATCACTAACTACCAGCTCAGCTTTTCCCAGCATGACAGCACCTGCTGATAAATTATCAATAACCGCAGCCTCTGTGTGTGTGTGTGTGTGTGTGTGTGTGTGTGTGTGTGTGTGTCTCTCACTGGTTTCCTGAACTTCAGCCAGGTGCAGTTGATGGGTGGAGCTCCAGAGAACTTGCAGAGGATCTCCACCTTCTCTCCAGCCAGGATCTTCATGTCCTCTGGGAACTGCAGGATCTGAGGAGGCAGAGCTGCCAATACAGACCAATAATCAATAATCAATCAGAAAAACAGAAGCAGAGAATAATAAAGAGAACTAGAAAATTCCAGGGAAATTTAGAGTGCCACGGGGGCTACTGCCGGGATGAGTACATGATTTATTTCCAGTGTTCAAAAGTCACCCTGATCATATTCTGGTTTGGAGAAATGTCTTGATTGGTTATCTGGTTGCTAGGCGCACGCACACAGGTCAGGAGCTGCCGTTGCCATGGCAATGTGAAAATCTGCCCAGAATTTGGCTTCTACATGGCTTCAAACAATTGCAAATTATGAGAAAACCGTTACTTCTTATCAAAAACCGAAAACACCGTGACAGACACTGAAGCCAGAACTTTCTTACAGTCTCTATTTTATTCAGATATTCCTTAAAATGAGTGAGTAAGCTCAGTGCGAAGACAGAGTGAGATTCTTTTGAAAGAAAAAGACGATTACATTAGGTGTCAATGAGAGTGAGACAGGTATTGCTGCTGGACTCGGCACCCCCGTTTAAATTTTGTGCAGACCCTGCCTGTCAAAGTTACATTTTATGAATCCCAACAACTATGTCTACATTTTCAGAAAGAATTATTTGTCTCCTTTTTACGGTTTGGCCGTGAGCTCGAGTTAAAAATAAAAATAAAGGTTATTTTTTACTGCTTCATGCACTCTAGCCAACTGACGCTGTCACTCTAACTTTGAAGAAAAAGTGATTTCCACTCCTCCTTTGAGTGCTCACAGTTTGAAAAGTTTACATGTTATGTAAAAAAAGTTGCTGTGTTTTGGAGAGAGCAGAAGTTTTCCTCCGTTTTATAGTTTGAATCACATTTCTACGTGCAGGTATGAGAGAGCTGGGTGACTCAGAAAAAAGGTGAAATTTTGTAGAAAAAAGGTGAAATTTTGTGGGTTTCTAAAGAAAATTCCAATGCATTCCTAATGCATTATTTATTCCCAGTATTTTGGGAATAACTTTGGGAAAAATTGGAATTTTAACACCAAAAGTCATAGCACCTCTTTCGGGATCAAGACACACGTTTTGATGTATATATTACCGGGGTTTTCTCAAAGCTGCGGGACGAGTTACGCGCCAAAATTTGTCGGAAGAATAATAATAAGCCCGAAGGAATATTAAGAGATGCCTCGGAGCTGAGCACCCGTGGCACTAATGAAAGCAGCGGAGGTGAACTCAGCTGTTCTGTCCTGGAACCAAACTTCATTAATTTATTAGAAATTTTAAAAATGTAGACCAGATGCACTGAGTAATCCTGAGTTCACACTGTTACACTAGAGTTAAATAAATAGTGATGACAGGTGTCGGCAGCAGGTGCTCATGGGAGCTGTAGTGAAACTTGTTCTTTAGTGACATACAGTCTCAGCTGCCCAAAGGCACTTCAGCAGGAGACAGGGGGACTTGAACCTGCATGTGGAGGATTGACAGAAGTTCACACTGAGCTGGAGCTCCAGCAATAATAGTTGTTGTGTGACACAGATTAAATCTGAGCAGCAGAGGTCAAGATATTCTGGTTTGTAGTCCAAAAACACTGGATCCTACAACTCCCATAATGCACCTGGATAGTTCTTTCATTAGAGGCCCTCAGCCAGGTAAGCAGCTTCTTTTACTGACTTTATATGAGAGAGTTTTACAGTGCAGGTGTGTATTCAGACAGGTGTATGTCACCTTGTTTCGGGGGGGTCTTGGGAGTCGGTTTCTTTATCCTGGCTTCACCTGATGGGAACAAACAACAGACAGTCAGAGAATCGAACCTGTAACCTGTGATGACCTGATGTTACCAGATGTTTTGATGATGTGACACATGTTCATGCAGCAGTAGTGTCGACTACAGTGTAAATATAAAGGCTGTACATGTTTGTATATGAGCTGAGCAGCGGCAGAAGAAGAATGTGAGACAGAGTGAGGACTCGTGTGGATGGAGAGCGTCTGATGACCATATATGGACAACCTAAAAATAGTTCCTCAGGATGCAGGAAATAGTTGTTGGAGGTTTTTATTTATTCTGCAGAAGAAGAAACAGATGAAACTGAAGAGTCTGAATCTGTCGTCAAACCCACAGTTAGAGAAGAAACTGTGTTAAAGTATGTTGTCCTCTTCTTCTCTCAGTCCTCTACCCCCCACCCCCCTCCATCGGAAACATTTCCCGACACAAAGTTATTTCTGCTCTGAGAGAAACCAATCAGTCTGAGTCACCGTCAAATCAATCCCTAACAGTCACTAACAGATCAATCACTAACAGATGAATTACTATTAAATCAAACAATAAAACATCAATCCCTAACAGATCAATCACTATTAAATCAATCACTACTAGATCAATCATCAATTTGTGTGACGATGCTGACACGTCTCTGAAAGTCTGATACAGATCTTTTTGGTCTCTGTGCTGTTGAAAAGGTATTTATGGGTCAGGTTGGGGTTCAGGTGTTCCACAGGTGTGTCTCAGACATGAGTGTGTGTGTCTCTGAGTCCTGAGGGGAGGGGGGTCCAGAGCTGGACCGGGTCCTGGATCATACCAGAGGTGATAAATATAAACCCACAAGGAGGATCAGGTTTCAGGGACTGAGCTGCTGTCAGACACTCAGTCCTTTATTTACTGTGGAGCCCCCATCAAACACGTTCATATGGACACAGTCTGAGCCAATCAGGAACCAGGTACAGACACATGGTAAAGGTCAGAGGTCAGGTCTGTGCTCTACTGTCTGTTTTGGTTTGAGGGAAAGGTCAGAGATCACCAAGGCCTTTTCATTAGGGACAGTTCATATTCAAAGGTAGCGTTGGTTCAGTTCTGGATCTAGATCCAGGTGAACTCACTTTACAGCTGGTGAGAAAGACTCAGACCAGAGCCGGTCCAGCTCTTAGTCCAGCAGAACCAGAATCACACAGCTCTGTTCACAAGTCCACGTCTTTAAACAACATGGAGACCTGATGGTCGTGGACTCAGACTCCCAGTCCTCCTCGAATCTTAAACCAGTTACTGAGACACGAAGAAGAACGAGTGGAACAATCAGATATGTCAAAACAACTTTTGATGTCTACACAGATGAGACTGTGGATGTGAACTGGTCTCTGGATGAACTGGTCCCTGGAGTCACAGTCCAGATCCACCTCCTGAATGAAGCTTCATTCTCAGCACTGACACATTTCTCCTGACAGAATGAGTTTTAATCAATAGTTATTTTCTTCTGTCTTTATTGATTATCCATGTTGTGATTAGAAAGATTAAAGATCTGATTGCTTCAGTAGTGATGTGGATATATATGAGGTGTGATGTTAAATGAACAGCTGATACTGAACAACACACAAGACTTTAGTTAAATAAAGTTATAAAACTCAGTCGTATTTACACAGAGACTGTCAGTGTACTGTCAGGATGAGGCGTTCACTGTCACTGAGAACGTCTGGAAACGTGATATACTTTGTCACTGCAGGTGGAAAAAAGGTCACAATGTTGATGGGGGTGGGGAGGTCGGGGTGATGGTGCTGTAATGAAGGATTGATGGTTGACTGTTTAACATCCACCATTACTCTGTCATCACACACACACAGTAAGTGTGTGTGTGTGTGTGTGTGTGTGTGTGTGTGTGTGTGTGATGTATAGCTGTCACATCATCACCTCCTCTCCGGATGGACACCAACTATGTGCTAACAGCGTGAGGAGCGTTTGATTTGTGAAGTGTGGCGATCCAGGCGGGCTGAGGGATTAGCTTGTAGCTTTAGCTTTAGCTCCCGTGCTGCAGGGTCACTTGGTGCGCCTGACACCCACTGCTGCGCTTTGATTGGCCGTCTGAACTGTCAATCACAGTCCGGTTTGCAGAGTTAGGACAGAAGCTAAAACCGAGAGCTGTTTCCATGGTAACCATGATGCTCGGGTCTTTTCTCTGTTGTCACTTTAATCAAATCTAAATAAACATATTGATGAATCTGTATGAACAACTGATCTATAGACTAAATGACGAATCAGCTGATCGTTTACTGTGCTCCTGACTCTGACACCAGAAAATGTACTGAAGTATTAAAAGTAAAAACTCTAATCATTAGATTATTATCAGTGATGCGTTAAAGTGACGGCAGGTGGAGATCATTTAAACTATTTTATATTTTTATATTTTAAAGTAACTGTCAGATGAAAGTCCAGTCGACACCAACTGAAGGGGAAAATAATCTGACAGCAGAGGTCACATAATGTCACAGTGAGACGCACACAAATAACAAACACACACAAACTCAGCTTTTGTTTGTCTGAAGAGGATCAGTCATGAAGCTGCTAAAACCCTGTGACCTTTGACCTCAAACTGTAAAGGTTTCATGGGACGAGGCGACTCATCAGGATATAATCATGTAACAACTTGTTTGTAACACATTATACTGTCGTTATAATCAGCTACAGAAACAAAGTGTTCAGTCTTTGTTCTACATGTTTTATATTATCACAGCTGTTTGACTGATTACAGTCTGTTAGAAACATCTTTATAATGTGATCACACGATACATGTTTCAGCTCTGAACACTCAGATCTGTTAGCTCAGCAGATTCCGCCTGTAAAAGTTTAAAGTCTCTGTTTAACTGAAACGCTTCACAGATAAGAATCAGAAGCTCTTATTGTGACAGTGTGTCTGTCTCTTCCTGGTGTGTTTGTTTGGATGGAGATGTTCCTGAGGGGCAGCAGACTGGGTGGAGTCTGACCACAGACTAACAACCTGCAGTAGAAACACATCAGATTCTTCAGATAATGATTTACTGACTTTCTCATGCTCGGGGTCAAACTGTTGTTTCCTTGTGCTTCACCGCTGATCTGAATAATAAAATCATCTGTAGAAATCAGAGCGCTCTGAACAAACAGACAACAAACAATTCATCAAAACCTCCTTGGATCGGGCACTATCCCGATCCTGCAGGAGAACTGCTGAAGAACACAGTGACCCAGAACAGTACAGAACCTTTTCAATCCAAGATAGATCATAATAATCTCATCATCTGTAGATATCAGGGTCGTCCATGTTGCTCCCAATCCAAATCCACTAACACTGAGTAACTGCCAATACAAATGCTGAGTCCAATCCAGTTTTTATAACAGACCATAGTGGGGTGTTTTTGATAGCTGGTGTACTTAGAGCAAACAAGCAAACAAACAAGGATCTGGGAATGCATCTGGATTTGTATTGTCAATACTAATCCATCAACACATTGGATCGGGTCTGATCCCGACTCTGCTGATAACAGCAACACTGACACACAGAACATTAAGCTTTTTATTCTGATCAGATCATAGACATATTAACAAACCACCTGCCACAGTGTAACAGAAACATCAAACACTCAGTGTTTACAAAGTTGGTCTGATCCTGATCTTTGAATATCGAGTGTTCAACATCAACACTCAGTGTGATGTGACAGAAACAGTCTCACTGATAAACTGATTATTCTATTAACTGATTAATCAGTTGAACTTGTTGTTGAACTTGTTGAACTCAGTCAACACATCAGGAGTTTATGTATAAACTCAGTTATCAGATCTTTATCCAGGAGCAGCCTGGCTCTGTGGGAGGCGCTGTCAGTCAACTGGACCACCTCTGTGATCCAGACTGTTGTGGTCCAGATGTTCATGTTCCACTCAGGAAGAATTGTTATAACTTTTCCTCTAGCGCCACCATCAGGGCACATTCACATTTGTCCAGTACCAAGACCAAACACCTGCAGAACTAATCACATTCCCATCTGCCTCTGCTCTGCTTTGGGTTTACTGCTAACCAGCAAAAGTTAGCATGCACTAGCTAAACTAAGATGGCAGTACGGCCTAATAAAGCTGCTAACAAGGCTGTGGTCCACTCACAATGTTATCTGTCTGAAGAAAATATAAATATTCACCAATACATCATCAGTCTATAACTATAACTACAGCAGGATGTTAAAGTGAACACTAAATTGTCCAGTTGCTCATGTTCAGAGCTTCATCTTTCTGTCTGTAATCAAACCTCATCCGAAATTATTAATTTTTATAGCCTAAAGTGATTTTCTGTGGCGGGACACTGAGTGTTTTTGTCCAAATCAGGGACAGTCAGCGTGAAGACAAGGAGCTGCTTAAAAGGAGAGCTGCTCCACTGGAGACGTTTAATCTGTGGTGTGAAGTGAAACAAAGTCTGAGAAGGCCGAGTCGGGGAAACCAGGCCTTAAATGGAAGTGTGGGAGAGAGGCCACGAGGAGCTCTGAACCGTTTTATACCAGAACATCCTCCCTCCACCTCCCAGTCCTCCCCCCTCATTCCTCTGCTGTCAGCTCCGATCTGTTGGTAAAACTCTGCAGAGGACTCAGTGTGTCCCTGGTACGTCTCCTCACTTCAGATAAATGAGACTAACTTACGGGGGGGGGGGGGGGGTTTCATTTAAAAGCTTCGCTAAACTGGAATCTACCATTCTTTTTGCTTTTTATCTTCTTGACAATGTAAAAACCTTGTCTTTCTTTCATGTTTTTGTTACATTAAACTCTGTCTCCTCCAGAGTCACCTGTATCAGGTGACCTTCAGAGTCTTGATGTCATGAATGAGTTTTCAGAAACAGAAGAGTTTCCCAGTTACAATCAATCATGGATGTATGACCCGTAAAATGCTTTTTAGAGGTAAATATGAGTCTAACACTCTTTGTTTTACTACCAAACAAGAAACAGCAGCTATAGCAGTGATATGTGCTGAGAGAGAAATCACCTATGAGTCTCCAAAACCATCCACCAGCAGCAAAACACACAGAAGAAGTCCCATATGACACAGGTTTGTTTTCTATCATGAAAATCATAAGGCTAGTTCTGCTAACATTAGCAAGTAAGCTATTATAATTATTGACACCAAGTATTTTAAACTTCTGGCTGTTTGGGGCGTCGAGTAGCTCAGTTGGATGAGCATCCGCCCCATGTGTAGAGGCTACAGTCCTCGCTGCAGATGGCCCCGGTTCGAGTCCCGCATCGGACAAGCCCTTAGCTGCATGTCATTCCCCCTCTCTCTGCCTCCCCGTTTCCTGTCTCTCTCTACTGCACTGTCAATAAAGGCACAAAAAGCCAGAAAAAATAAATTAAGAAAAAAAAAAAAAAAAAACTTCTGGCTGTTTGAAGTGATTTTAATCCATTCACAAAACCTGGAAACTTTAGCTAACAAGCAAACAACATTTACAATATTTAGTTGTAAAGCACTGATGCAGCTAACAGCTACCAGCCATTCACCCATTACCTCACTGCAGAGTGATTCTTTTTCTATTATCATTATTAAAACAAGTCCTTCAGACACAAACAGCTTCTCATTTTTAGTCAACAACTGCTAACGTTAGCTTAACCTCAGGTACCATCGAGGTCGGAACGGAGCTTTTCCAACAGCCTGTAACTAATCACATGCTAACTGTCAGCCTCGGAGGTTATGAGTCAACATGCTAATGTTAGCTGCTCACATTAGAGCAGATAAACGGTTTAAGACTCAAAACAGAATCGACCCTCCAAACCCTCTGTCTACACAGTGTCTGTGACTACAGCATGTGGGCGTGGCCTGTATCAGTCACTTCACCATCACCCACTGAATCCATACACACCATGTTTTTCTTGGCACTATCACTACCATCTTTGAGTAGGTGAAGCACTGAAGCAAGACAAAAAAACAAAACAAAAAAACTAATCATTAATAAATTAATATAACATCAGCTGCGACAGTAACAGCAGGGATCTCCTAAAACATTCAGGCTCTGGAAGCTTGTTTCTAGCTGGAAGCATGTAGGACCAGTAGCGCTCAAACAAGGTACAGAAGAAGTGAACGATAATAAAGAACTGAGACAATGACAGAGTCAGAAATCACACCATGAATTCAGCAGAACTGTCAGTGTTGTGTCTCCTGCTTCATGTCTGACTCTACCTGATCTGGACCAGAGAGCATGTCAACACACTGAGCTCTCAGGCCGAGGTATGCAGAGGATAACGTACACAGGAAGGACTGAGAGTCAGATCACAGAGATAAGAGCAGATTTTCCACTGAGAGGAAACATTAAGCTGCTGCAGCGACAGTCTGAGACCCTCTGATGTGCTGCTGCCGTCATGTATGAAACATGGATCATATTTAGAATAAAAATGGAACTACTATAAAACATAGCGTTGGCTTTCTCCTGCAGTGATGAAGCTGAATCTTTGATCTTGTTGATATTTGTAAAAGCAAACTCAAGACCTTCCTTATAGTCTTCCTTTAATTGAATTTATTCATATACTTGAAGCTGTTTTACAGGTATGTCCTTTTATTCTATTATTATATCTGGATTGTTTTATGGTTTAACTCGCTTCCAAACATCTCCTCTGTTTCAGGTTTTTATTATTTTATCTTTATCTTTGTTGCCCAGTCTTCAGTGTTTCCTCAGTGCAAATGTATGAGATTCCTAATAGCAAAATTGCTAATCAAATAAAGTCTGACTGACTGATTGATCGACTCTTCATCATCTTCATCAGATGGATTTTCACCATCATCAGAACTCCAGCACCAACCAGATCTTCAGTCTCACATAAACAGTGGGACTGAGAGGGTCGAGTAACATAACGAGCCCTGATGTTTATCTGGGTTTAGTCAGATAGGAGTGTGTGTGTGTGTGTGTGTGTGTGTGTGTGTGTGTGTGTGTGTGTGTGTGTGTGTGTGTGGGGGCAGCGGGGCTGATGGGAAACGTGGTCTTAATGTGGAGAGGAGAGCGGTGGTTTACTCTTATGGAGGCAGGAATAATAATCTGACAGTGATGTACGCACTGATGTTTCCAATGATACACAGAGACGCTTTAAATAGAAACCACCAACTCTGAGTGTGTGTGTGTGTGTGTGTGTGTGTGTGTGTGTGTGAGTGAGTGTGTGTGTGTGTGTGTGTGTGTGAGTATGTGTGTATGTGTGTGTGTGGGAACCAGTGCTCCCAGCCTGTAGCTCCTTATTGGGACAAAAGGAAAGAGGCTGCTGCTGCATATTTTGGAAACTCACTCTCTGAGGTCGGAGTCGACTTCTTGGACTTCTTGTCAGCCGGAGAGTTTTCTGTTGGGTCTGCAGAGGACGAGAGACACAGAGGGAGAAAGAAAGAGAGAGAGAGAGAGAGACAGAGAGAGGATGTGATGTTAACAACAGCTGGAATCATCTGCAAACATCAGTCCAGCTCCAGTATCTTCACCTGATCTTTGTCTTAGATCAAAAGCTCTGCGCAACCCGGGACCTCTTCATATCATTTTATTACCCATCATGCACTCTGTTAATGTTCCTCCGCCTCCCTCTCACCTCCCTCCCCTTTGAAGGAAAACCAGAAATGCAGTCCTCATTAAATCTGCCCCCAGACTCACTCTGATCCTGATCGTCTGCTGGTTAAAATATCTGCTGGTTAACACGACTGCTGGTTAACATGACTGCTGGTTAACACGACTGCTGGTTAAAATATCTGCTGGTTAAAATATCTGCTGGTTAACATGACTGCTGGTTAACATATCTGCTGGTTAACATGACTGCTGGTTAACATATCTGCTGGTTAACATATCTGCTGGTTAAAATATCTGCTGGTTAACACGACTGCTGGTTAAAATATCGGCTGGTTAAAATATCTGCTGGTTAACACGACTGCTGGTTAAAATATCTGCTGGTTAACATGACTGCTGGTTAACATGACTGCTGGTTAAAATATCTGCTGGTTAACATATCTGCTGGTTAACACGACTGCTGGTTAAAATATCTGCTGGTTAAAATATCTGCTGGTTAACATGACTGCTGGTTAACATGACTGCTGGTTAAAATATCTGCTGGTTAACATGACTGCTGGTTAACATGACTGCTGGTTAAAATATCTGCTGGTTAAAATATCTGCTGGTTAACATGACTGCTGGTTAACATGCGTCTGAGGTTAAATCTCAGTGTATGAGATCAGAAAAAGAACAATATGAAATCATCTCCCATCAGCCCCAGCTGTACTTTCACATGAACACGCTTGTTTCCAGGAATGACTCAGATGTTTGATAAACACTGACTCTGTTTGTGTTGATTTATTCTAATTACAGGAAACTTCAACCACAGAGACGCTGAGGAATCCTGGGCTGATCTGAGCTGCTGCTTTCTGCTGTGGAAACTGGAAACATCAGAACTTTTCATCAGGTTTCAACAGTAGCAATAGTTTACAGGTTCACAGGTACAGATTTAATATCAGACCTGGACCGCGATATATTTCAGTTTCAAGGTGTTTTAGGTTCTAATCTGATGTGGCTGGAGTCAGAGACTGAAAAAATCAGGTAACAGGACAAAACTGTGAGGAAGATGTTTCTGAAAAATGAAAACCTGATGTTTTGATGAACAGCTGAATTAAAGAGGAAGTGCTAAAGGTTAAGGTCACATTGAGATGCAGTTTCTAATTTAATATTTAATGTGAATAAAGATAACATTAAAGTGCTAGATTTTAAAGGGAGATTTGTAGGTTTCTCCCATCATGACCAGTATCTGAGTCACTGGTGCAAATGTTTCTGAGCTGCAAACATTAACAGCACTGTGGCAAGAACAAGTGGCAGGTTTGTGAAGGGAGTTCTGTGTGTTTCATTCATTATGGCAGAAGAACATATCAGATCAAACCATTAAAAAATAAAAATGACAAATTTGAAGCTTGTTTTACTTTTCTAGACACAGCAGGAAGTTCAAGAAGTTTGGAGGTTTGTGAATTCTTATAAGGAGATTTAAAGAAACATGATGTTTTCATTAAGAACTTAATTATCAATCCGTTAAAATATTTCACTATAAATATGTGATGTCCATCCACAGCAGTGAAAATTAAAACAAAACATTTAAAGTAAGTTTTGTCAGTTTCTCCCATCATGAACAAGAAAACAACTAAGACTAACTACTCCACTAATGACACAATAAGAACACTGCCTTTTTCCTCCCAGTGTTTCAGCAGCTGCAGACAGATGTTGATGTGTGATACGAGCAGTGATTCTTACCATCTACTAGAACCATACAGGAACATTCAACTTTTCCTCCTGAGGTCTCGGCTCTGCATTTATACTGGCCTTCATCCTCTGGTAGAGCTTTGTCTATGGTCAGAGAGCACAGACCGCCTGCAACACAACACACAACACACTGTCAGTACACAGGCTGTTAACACAGCATGAAAACATCTGGATGAATTCTTTTTTTTTTGTTATTTTTGGGCATTTTACCTTTATTTGAAAGTACAGTGAGAGGTAGACAGGAAAGTCAGGGAGAGAGAGGGAGGGGATGACATGCAGCAAATGGCCGTGGGTCAGATTCGAACCCATGGCCGCTGCGGTAAGGACTAAGTCCATGTGGTACGCGGTCTACCAGGTGAGTCACAGAGGCGAATAAAACTAATAAACGTTGATTTATCCGAAACAAAATGAGTAATAACTATTTGTACAGCAGCTGTGTAGTGATGCTACGTCCTGTTCATAGAAAATGTTTTTATCCTGTGTCGTTCTGCATTGAAGCTGGAAGCTGCTGGTTAATGAACATGACGAGGCTCCTGAGGAAACACTGTTCATCTGCACAAACACTGAAGGAAACCAACAACACAAGGAGATGTAACAGATAGAGAACAGCTGTTTGTTTCCACATCAGCAAACGTCTAGTGGATGAAAGTCGATGAGCTGCAGATACATGTTTGTGTGTGTGTGTGTGTGTGTGTGTGTGTGTGTGTGTGTTGATGTCTTCAGTCTGAGTTGCAGCCATATGGATGAGACCACGGGGCTAACCTGTTAATCTGATCAGGTTTTGTTGGATATTTCAGATGTTAGCATTAACTCCCCTGAACTGGTTCCTGTCACTGGACAGAAACACTAAACCCTGGTAAGAACTGATCAGACCTGAATCTGTTGGTTGACACAGTCCAGTCCAGAGTCTTGTCCAGTCCAGTCCAATCCAATCCAGTCCAGTCCAATCCAATCAAATCCAATCCAGTCCAGAATCTTGTCCAGTCCAGAATCTTGTCCAGTCCAGTCTTGTCTAGTCCAGTCCAGTCCAACCCAATCCAGTCCAGTCTTGTATAATCTAGTCCAGTCCAGTGGACATTTTCTACAGAAGCTGCCACATGTTAAATTTTCTCTGTGTCAGAGTGAGATGCAGGGGTGTGGATGGGCAGAGCAGACAGGTGAATGGGAACAGGTGGACAGCTAGGGAGAGGAAATGAGAAGGAGGTGGAGACGGACACAGGAGGACTGATGAAATAACTCCTCGCAATCTGTGACATCATGATGAAATGGAGTAGACTCTTGCCTTCAGCAGCCACACCTACAGCTGAGCTGTCAGACTGTCACCTGACCATCCTCAGTACAGACACTGAGAGGATGGATGGCTGCTCTTCAACAGGAAACACCCAGTTCACCATAAACTACTACTACATACTACTGCTCCAATTAAACTATCGACCACACGTTCAGTGATCAGCTGTTTCCAGTCTTTATGCCAAGCTTGCTATTCCCCCCCTCCTGAAATGAATTTACTGTTGTGCTAACAGCTAACATTACAGTATTAACCAGAAGCAACTTCATCTTCTCTGCTCTAAAACAGTAGCCTACACAGGAAGTTGCACTGTGCAGCCACGGACAGCTACTGTTTTAGAGCAGAGAAGAAGAAGAATTGATTTATGGGAAAACTGCAGTTTTATTCTGATGTGAAAACGTTTATTAATAAATAACGTGCACGGACTCGGTCCTTACTGAGACCTGATCCAGGATCAGAGGTGTTTCTGAGACCAGTGTCAGAACTACTGTAAGAGTTACGTTCCACCATTGATTAATGATTTTTCATTGATCAACTGTAGACATGAAACAACATCATCATCATCACTGTCTGTGTCCTGTGAGACTACAGCTGTCTGAGGGCGTCTCAGTGACCTCTGACCTTTAGAGTCCAAACACAGAGCTGGATCAGGGGCTGTCCTGCAGACTGAAATAACAGAAGGGAGGATTACTGCTGTCTGACACACACACACACACACACACACACACACACACACACACACACACACACACACACACACACACACACACACACACACACACACAACACACACAGGGAATCCTCAGGTCCTCAGTTGTTCATAAACATACATGTATGTTCAGATATAGCAGCAGGTCTTCACTGTTCATAGAGAGCCATGAGGAAACTGGAAACACTGTGTGTGTTTCTATCTCTGTGAGGACATTCTGGCCGATTGAAGCTTTGTAAAAATCTGAGACCAAGTAAGACCAGGACCAGGATGGTCTACAACAGCACCAGGACCAGCTCATGCACTGGAGACGTGGTTTAGAGAAGAGTGCATTTCCTTGAGCTGTTCTCTGTTCCTGTGTTTTATGATGTAACGTGAGACTGACAGTTTTATATCAGTCCTCCTGACACGAGCGTCTTTACTCTCAGTGAGACCTGGAGCTTCAGACTGACTCCGACCTTATATAACTGTACAACACACACAGTCTGACTGTTCACTGTAGAGTCGTCCTGGAAACCTCTGTTTCTTTAAACATTTAAACTCTCCTGGATCAGTCCTGACTCTCGTTGTGTTTCTAGACAAATAAACTGTAAAAGTCTGACATCATTTTATTCAACATCATGTGGACATGTTGTTACTTTATGTCTTTGATAAGTCGTTGATCCTGAACATCTGATGTTTCAGTTCAACCTTCTCCTGTAGTGACGCCATCATTAAACTGGTTCTGGTTCTGGTCAGACTCTCACAGATCCTGGTTCAGGGCAGAGAAAAGATCCTGCTCTGTCTAATACACAAACAGTTCACCATTGTTTTTTTACATTTAAACTAAACTTGGTCTCTGGATGAACTGGTCTAGGGATGTGAACTGGTCTCTGGATGTGAACTGGTCCCTGGATGAACTGGTCTCTGGATGTGAACTGGTCCCTGGATGAACTGGTCTCTGGATGTGAACTGGTCCCTGGATGAACTGGTCTCTGGATGTGAACTGGTCCCTGGATGAACTGGTCTCTGGATGTGAACTGGTCCCTGGATGAACTGGTCTCTGGATGTGAACTGGTCCCTGGATGAACTGGTCTCTGGATGTGAACTGGTCCCTGGATGAACTGGTCTCTGGATGTGAACTGGTCCCTGGATGAACTGGTCTCTGGATGTGAACTGGTCCCTGGATGAACTGGTCTCTGGATGTGAACTGGTCCCTGGATGAACTGGTCTCTGGATGTGAACTGGTCCCTGGATGAACTGGTCTCTGGATGTGAACTGGTCCCTGGATGAACTGGTCTCTGGATGTGAACTGGTCCCTGGATGAACTGGTCTCTGGATGTGAACTGGTCCCTGGATGAACTGGTCTCTGGATGTGAACTGGTCCCTGGATGAACTGGTCTCTGGATGTGAACTGGTCCCTGGATGAACTGGTCTCTGGATGTGAACTGGTCCCTGGATGAACTGGTCTCTGGATGTGAACTGGTCCCTGGATGAACTGGTCTCTGGATGTGAACTGGTCCCTGGATGAACTGGTCTCTGGATGTGAACTGGTCCCTGGATGAACTGGTCTCTGGATGTGAACTGGTCCCTGGATGAACTGGTCTCTGGATGTGAACTGGTCCCTGGATGAACTGGTCTCTGGATGTGAACTGGTCCCTGGATGAACTGGTCTCTGGATGTGAACTGGTCCCTGGATGAACTGGTCTCTGGATGTGAACTGGTCCCTGGATGAACTGGTCTCTGGATGTGAACTGGTCCCTGGATGAACTGGTCTCTGGATGTGAACTGGTCCCTGGATGAACTGGTCTCTGGATGTGAACTGGTCCCTGGATGAACTGGTCTCTGGATGTGAACTGGTCCCTGGATGAACTGGTCTCTGGATGTGAACTGGTCCCTGGATGAACTGGTCTCTGGATGTGAACTGGTCCCTGGATGAACTGGTCTCTGGATGTGAACTGGTCCCTGGATGAACTGGTCTCTGGATGAGAACTGGTCTCTGGATGAACAGGTCTAGGGATGTGAACTGGTGTCAGGATGAACGGGTCTCTGGATGAACTGGTCTAGGGATGTGAACTGGTCTTTGTACATGAGACTCTGCTCCTTCATAAATGAAGCTACATTAATGTGTTAATTGTTTTGTTGACTAAGTGGATGAGCGTCATCTGTTTCTAAATACTACAATACCCATGAGACTCATCTGCTGTTGCCATGGAGATGAGGTCAGAGGTCAAGGGTGTGAACTGATGTAAACTTGGCTCTTCAGTTTCAGTTCACTGTTGGTGTGAAGCACTGTGGTTTGCTGACTGTTAGTGAAATGCACCCTGGGAGTTGTAGTTAACCCCTCCCTCTTCTTTATATTTTTAAATGAGATTTGACATGTTAACGTTTTGATCTTTATCTCATATCAACAGTTTAAAACATGTTATAACTGGTTTGTAACAGAATATAAATGTTTATTAATGTTTAGTATTTATTCTATAAAGACATATTTATATTATTACATCTTTAATTACAGATGATACAGGGTAAATACAGGGCCTTTATATAAAGACAGAGACGTTCACGAGTGAAGTCTGAGTCTCTAAAATTACAAAACATTTTCTCCTTTAATGTTAAAATCTAATGTAATAAAGGTTGATGGCTCAGATCATCGCGGCACTCTTTCACAGTGAATTAGACAGTGAAGACAACAACATATACTCTATTTATCTGACTGAGACTTCATACTGTTACAGTGTCGTGTTTGTTCAAAAGAGAAACACGTTTTTCCCACTGACGTCGACTGTTGGTCATTTAAAGAAACGACTTTATGATAATATGATAATTCAACATGAACTGTGTCTCATATCATTTCAAACGAATCAATGGAACAGACTCATAACGCTCGAAACTAAAACATTATTCTCCCTCAGTGACTGAAGGAGAAGCTCAGTGTTTATTAATGTGTAAAACAAACATAAAAATCGTCTTCACAGGAAACAGAACAAATATACATTAATAAACATGTCACTATGTGATTATAACCACCTTATAGTCTGTTATAAACCAGTTATTACAGGTTTGGTTGTTCCATTTGGATGTTTTTAATATTTTAATATTTTCTTACATATTTTAAGTCAATGATTAAACGATTAATGGAGAAAAGTTAATTGATAATGAAAATTATTTTTAACTGAAACAAGAAGCAAAGAACTGAGAAGTGAATGAATCAGGTCCTCACAATGCTGGTCCTCACAAGTGACGTTAACTCTGTGTGTGTGTGTGTGTGTGTGTGTGTGTGTGTGTGTGTGTGTGTGTGTGTGTGTGTTCTCTGTAAAGTGATCTGTTCCCATATGAAATACCAGTAACAGTCACACACATCCTGCCTCTCTATTGTTTCAGATCTGTTTCTATTTATAGAGTCTGAGCTCCGTCAACAGTTGCTTCAGCTCTGTCAACTAAACTTCAAACTCACAACTCTACACTGTCACTGTCTGAGAGTTTAGAACCACGTGTGTGTGTGTGTGTGTGTGTGTGTGTGTGTGTGTGTGTGTGTGTGACCTCTGACCTTCATTGGCGAGGATGATGAACTTGGACGGCTTGATGACCTTCCCGTCCAGCGTCCAGGTGACAGTGACGTCTGCAGGTCCAGAGGTGGCGGCGGCGAGGCGGCACTGCAGCCGGAGCCGCTGGCCGTCCAGCACTGTAACATCGCTCAGCTTCTCCGTGAACTCTGGTGCCTTCCCTCCTCCTCCTCCTCCTCCGCTCTTCTTCTCATTAATCCCTCCGTCCACACAGTTATTCACTGCCATCTTCCCGCTCTCCCCGTTCTTCTCGGGAGTCTCCGGCTTCTTCTTGTTGGCGAGGACGGAGCGGAAATCGGCAGCGTTCTTTCCAGGTGTCTCAGCCGGTTTGTTGCTGTTGCCAGCGACACCACCCTTCTTCCCCAGCACTGCACGGAAGTCCACCTGCTGCGGTGAGTTCACCTTGCGCTCCTCCTCTGACTTGGGTTTGACACCCTTGAGGTTGGCCTTAAAATCCATCTGGTGATGGTGGCGGTTCTCTGCGGTGGCAAGGCCGGCCTCCCTCGACTCCTCTCCCTGGTTGTTTTTGGCGTGAAAAGCTCGGCGTCCCAGAAGTGAGCGGAAGTCCAGCTGCTGCGCCTCCCTCTGTCGCAGCTCCTCTTCTCCACGCTCCCTGGTCTCTACACAGTGTTTGAGGAGGCCTCGGGGAGCGGCGGCAGCAGTAGTGGCGGCGGCTGAGTCCTGGTCGCCCTCCTTCTTCCTCTTCTCCTCCTGGTGCAGGTGCAGGAGAGGCTGGTTCTCCTTCTGCTCCTTGTTGGCCTCCTGCCACTGCCGACTGACACCACAGCTGCTGCTGCTGCCTCTCTGCTCCACGCCTCCTCCTCCTCTGGCACCTCCTCTCAGCGCCGCGCTTTCACCAGCTGCTCCTCCTCCTCCTCCTCTTCCTCCTGCTGCTGCAGGGCTGGGCGAAAGAGCACAGAGACAGATGGAGGGAAAGAGAGGGAGGGAGAATAAACAGAGCAGGGTTAAAGCCCCCCTGGAACAAGAGGACAAGCTCCGCCCCCTTACATCTGGGGAGAGGGGGGAGCGAGGGGGGTGGGGTGGGGGTGGACCTCGACTCAAATTGTCCATGTTACATCACAAGTGACTCTACTGCCCTTATAAGGGCATACACCCAGAACTCACACACACACACTTACACACACACACACACACACACACACACACACACACACACACAGAGATGTAAACACACTCCTCCTTCCTGAGTTCACTTAATTCTCAGTTTCTTTATTTGACTAAGAATCAGAATTTCTTTTTTGTTTCTCACTTTAAGAAAAAACAGCGAGTGAGCGACAGAGTGAGAGAGACAGAAAGAGTGAGAGACAGAGAGAGAGACAGAAAGAGACGGAGAGTGAGAGAGAGAAAGACAGAGACAGAGAGAGAGACAGAGAGAGACAGAGAGAGAGAGTGAGAGAGAGAAAGACAGAGACAGAGAGAGAGAGAGAAAGACAGAGACAGAGAGAGAGACAGAGAGTGAGAGAGACAGAGAGAGAGATAGAGAGAGTGAGAGAGAGAAAGACAGAGACAGAGAGAGAGAGTGAGAAGAGTGAGAGGAAATACTGGCTCTGATTGGTTCGTTGATATGGATTAGAGAAGCTTGAGGGAGTTTCTGGATATGAGACAAAGGGATGGACAGAACGATGAGTGGGAGAGAACAGAGGGATGGAGAGCTGGGAGTGAAGGGAGAGAGAGATAAACTTGAGGATGAAGAGTGAAACTCTGTCACTGATGGTCTGTAACAGCAGCACATGAGCAGATCTGAGATCACTCAGTCCACAAGAGAAGGACCTTAAAGTTTCCTTCAATGTTCACGTAAGTATTAAAGCTTTTCTCCTGATCTTAGTTCCGTCCCTTAAACTGTTGCACAAAACACTTTCGAGACCAAAGTTCACCTGGTGATGTTTCCGCCAAAACAACAGGAGGATGAGACAACACGTATCACAAGAGCTAATGATAGCAAATCAAGTCTCCATGGAAACAGTAGAATTTTACTGCTGTAAAATCTCTTTGACTGCTGAAAATATCTTAAGTTTTTTCTGTAATTGAGGAGAATTTTAAGAGACTGACACCCTCAAGTAACTCCCTCAGCTAAGGAGAAATTAAACCTTAAGTGTAAGAGTTCAGTAGAAAACTTCAGGTGTTTTGAGGACCAGATCCTGGGTCAGGGCGTCTGAGATGCTTCAGTCCACCACACCCTGCTGTGTCTGACCGGTCTCCATGGTAACCCTGTCCACTGTCATCAGAACTGGACCTTGGAGCAAAAGAAGGAGGTCTCCTGGTCTGATGAGTCCAGGTTCTGGTCACCGTACACCTGGGGAGGTGACGGCACCAGGTGCACTGTGGGAAGAAGACCAGCAAGTGGAGGGAGGTGATGTTCTGTTGGGAGACCCCGGGTCCAGGTCTTCATGTGGACCTCAGTGTGAAACCTGGGTCAACATCATGGTGGTCTTCCCTCTCTCAGTCCTGCTGTACCGCAGACATGGTCCAGGACGGTCTGAGGATCCTGAGGGCTCAGTGACTTCTGGGCTCTCAGTCTGATCCAGGATCTGTGACATGTTCTGCTGCTGAGGTCCTGGTCCCAGAAGCTACAGAGAGCTTCAGGTGTGTAGAGTCCCCGTCTGGGTGCGTCAGAGCTGTAGTTCAGCTCATAGAGGACCAGTATCTGATCTGTTCCTGTCCTGTCTCATCAGTGAAGACAGGGTCTGAACACGGACAGTAAATCTGATCCTGCAGTAAAATGTTAAACCATGAAGGTGGATCAGGTCTCACCTGGTCTCCTCTGCTGCTCGTCCTCCTCGTCCTCTCGTCCTGTCCGTCTCTCCATCAGTCACAGACAGACTGGCCGCAGCGACACACTCCCCTACAGAGTTCCTGACAGACAGACACAACATCACTCCTGGTGTCCTAGTGTCCTTCCCTTCTCTGTGCCCTTCATTGCACCCTTGTCTCCTACCTTACACATTCGTAAGAGTGAAACAGATTCTGCATCCTGTTGTGAGTACACTTCCTAGTGTCCTGGCTCTACACCTGCAGCGCACCATCACACTAACATCACACCACCTTACACTCTAGTGTCCTGGAACAGCTGCTGGTCTGTGGAGCTGCAACATGGAGCTCAGTCCTCTTTATTACCTGCAAACCATCATCAGATCTTGAGTTGCCTGGTGATGTCACATCTCCAACATCCACCCAAACACAACATTACTATCCACTGCCCTTGCACTACACCTCATCATGGTGAACTGCACCTCAGTGCACCACTTTATTTATAGCACCAGTCTGTTTGCTGTGTTACTTTAATCCCTTCATAGTGTTGTGATAGACACTATAACCAGTCATCTGAAGTCATCAGTTACTAGGCAGACCAGATGAGTGTTTACCTGGAATAAACATGTTCTTGGTCTAAAGATGTGAGCGCATGGTTGTGAAAGTCTGGGTTTGGTTCCTATTTATAAATGATGGCAGAGAGAACTGAGCTGAGATCTGCTATTTACCTCTGACTGTGTTTAATCTGGAAGAAGATAAAGTGACAGTGCTCAACCCTTTGGTGTTGGTATTACCCTGGATCACTCCGATTCTCTGTAATGTAATGTAATGTAATGTCACAGTGAAGCAGAAGAAGACGTCCGTCAGTGTTTCTCGCCTACAGTCATTCTTCAGGTCGTACCCAGAGGTCACTGAACCTTTACCTTGGAAAGGT